GCAGAAAATTTTCATATATCAAATATTGATACTGAACCAAATATCATTTATCCTACAATTCAGAATAGGATTGATTTAACATACAATTGGAACAGAAAATTTTAAAATATATATAGCAGCAATTCTAGGACTTTCTTTTACTTCCTCAAAACTTAGAAACTTCTTTATTTACATGTATTTCTGTATTTACTTTTAGTAAACTTAAACTGCAATATTTTGAACATACCTTAAAAAGGGATTCCAAAATCTGAAAAATAAAGGTTTAATTAAACATTTTAAAATAAAATTCTTCACAGTATATATGATAAAATATTTAAGTCAAGTCTCTTGCAATTTTAAATCACAAAAATGTACAAATTATTAAAATTAAACTATAAATCTATAATCCAAAATCACAATACTTTAATATTTATACAAAGGTTTTAGTACAACTTGCATAGACAACTTAGTTCTAGAAAGAAAAAAAAATTCCATCTTTATAGATATATATTAAAAGAGACCACAATATAATTTACAGGTATGATTTTACATATTTTTTTAATATAGGTTAAGAAATAAAATTTAAATTCCTCTCAGAAGAACATAACTTTTTTCATATAGCAGAGAGTACAATGATGAAAAGCATTACCTTACCAAACATTACCTCTTCAATATAATTTTTCTCTGCTAAAGGGCCTAAAAATCAAAATATAAAATATTATACTACTGCTTAATATTTTTAACAGAAAATGCAAAGATCTGGTATAGGAGCTTGTGAAAGAAACTAAATATATAAAAACCAATTTCACAGTCCAAAATATCAATATTTACCACTTAGAAAATGTACGGCTAAAATTATTACACTTGCCACATGAAAAAGCACACTATCAGAGATAAGTGTTTTAAAATAAATTATTAAGGAAAAATATTACTGGATTTCAAGATTGCAGCAGATTGAGTGGAAGCTACACTGACACTCTCCCAGGACCAAACTGAATTACAACTAAAATAGAGAAAAAACATCCTGAATAATCAACTGCAACTGAAGACAGGTTGGAGAGCACCCTTATAACCAAGGGACTAATGGAGAGACTGCACAAAGGCTGGTAGAAAGGCCAGTCCGGGTGTGGCTCAGAGGTTGAACATCGACCTAGGATGCAGGTGATCGGAGTTCAATTCCCAGTCAGGGCACATGCCCGGATAGCGGGCTCAATCAATGANGAAGGCCAGTCCGGGTGTGGCTCAAAGGTTGAACATCGACCTAGGATGCAGGTGATCGGGGTTCAATTCCCAGTCAGGGCACATGCCCGGATAGCGGGCTCAATCAATGACTCTCTCATCATTAATGTTTCTATCTCTCTCTCTCCCTCTCCCTTCCTCTCTCTAAAATCAGTAAAAACACTTTTTTTAATTGTCTGCTATGTTCTTAAAGGTCAGTTCAGAATCACCTTAGAAGGTAAGGTTAATGCAATGGGAGGAAATGAGTGGTGACCTTTGTGCTTAGATATGGCTGAATTCTGTTTTAGGTCAAAAAAAGACAGCCAAGCTAAAACAGATGTCTTTGCTCAAATGGCACATCTGAACAACTGGTTGAAATATAGAGGTTAACAAGGACATTAAATCTTTTAGTGATCAAAAACACAAATATTGATAATTTCTCCACTGAATTGGTCTTTGGTTCTCCAAATCAGGACTCAGCTGAAGCAG